AAAATGTTCAGAACCAACGAACAAGTTTTCTCAGAGAGAGAAAAATTTTAGGGTTTAAAAACGTGAAAAATGTTAATTATAGAGACCAGAAAGTAAAACTTTTCTGTCTCTGTGAAAACTTGTTCGTTGGTTCTGAACATTTTTCTACAGAGGTAATTCAACGTGCTCTGCAATCTAGCAGTGCCAGAATATGTTCAACTGGAAATTCATAGCAGGTATTCGAACATCCGGATTTCAGAGACCACCCCAGAAATACCTAGCAGCAGAAACGGCTTTACGATGTTTCTATTTCCTAGCTATTTTTCTTTATTGTTGTGTATTTTCAATATCCGATTTTTGCATCTTGGGTGATACCTCGATAGACCCAAAATTCGGTTCTGACCACGAATATGAGTTTGGTTTTTTTGAAATCTCATGTTTGGCGAGAAAGTTGAGAAATAGTTCCATTTTGGAAACGCAAACCCCTAAAAATATCTCTTTAAGACTAATAGAACAAGTTAGGTATCTGATAGAAAAGACTCTCAAGGAGCAAAAAATACTTTCAGAAAAAAAGTGCGAAAAAATGTCGTTTGCGACAACTTTTAAACTGTACGTATTGGTTTTTGATACAAGTTTACTGGCAGAAAACAAAGTTTAACTCTTTTAAATTTATAGAATTGCCAGGTATTTTTTAGGCATAACCACCACTTGCCACGAGCAATAGATATAAAAATATTCTTCACTATCAGTTTACAACTGTTATAGGGTTGACATCACTAAATACCTCCGACGCCCTCGACATATCTGATATCAAGATTTCACCTTTTAGGTTTTATTTAAGACAGTGAACTTTTGTTACAAACACTCAAATCTGACAATCTTACTATACGTTAGAATAGTCAATTCACCTTTCCATTTTTCCTTCCTTAGCGTAGGCAATAGTTCATCTCGCGAGCATAAAACTCAACTCATCTGGTTCATGACTTACCTTTGCTCAAACTGAAATTTTCGAAAAGTTCTTGAGTAATAATAGTAGGTTTTGACCTCGAGCACAGTATTCCGAGAACCTGATAGTCTCAAGCGCTATATTATAAGAAAATGTGAGCGCCCAGTGGTAAAATAATCTGTTTAGGCGTTCGAAAATCGAAACCGTTTCTTTAAAAAAATGGTTTTTCGAAGAAATCCTGTTTACTTCATCGATAAACTAAATAGTACTTTATCCTATAAAACCTCTTTTCTTCTCTCTATTACTCTTTCCAGCAAGTTTAAATCGTACTAAAACTAGATCGTTTTTTCCGTATTATATGATGATCGTTCCTCACCACTATACAAAATTCTTCTATGTTAAGCGTATATGTTAAGTAACCTCATAGCACAGATGCACAGAGGCATTTAAAGACTTGTATAGAATTAATAGACTTAGAGACAGTTGAAAAGTAATCGCGAAAAACCCTACGCCCACTTAGACCACGGTTTCAACGAGAAAAAGGCTCTTTAGTCATCAAAAAGTCCAACCAAACATTGACCGCTTTAAACAAAGCACAAGCAATATGTTGCTACCCAGGTCGATGAAAACTGGCATTTAATTGTCCATTAACTGTATGCCAAAAAATGGCTTGTTACTTGTGTAAAAAGAATGAAAATTGGCATTTAACAGCCATTATAATGACTTTTTTTTTACTTTGAAATAACGATGAAAATAATGCCAGATTATAGTCGATGTCCGACAAAATGTCATTTTACGGACACCCCTAAATGGCATTTGCGTCTAATCAATTATTAGACCGCGTTAACTAATGCCAAATAAATGTGCCTGTTACATGTCCGTTTGGCGGCCTAAAAACTGGGTCAAATGTCATAAATATTCCATTTAAATGTTTATTAATAGAGAGTATTAAATGGCATTCAATTGGAAATTAATTACACCGTTTTCGACCTCCTGGGTAGTTTAGCATGTTAAAAGTAGCATTCTAGGACCCTGCACCGCGAAGAGAACCCTAAAAAATGACAGTTTTCTACTTTTTGTTGTTTGCTTGCTTTCTAAATCTGTTTGTGCCTTTTTCTTGATAAGAACCAATACATGGCGACGCCATTTTCACTCAGAAATGCACTTCGATACAAAAGTTAAATTTTGTCAATTATAATTACTTATTCATTTAGAAAAAAATTATCGCTTTCCTATACATCGTTTGCTACATTACACTTCGGTTAGATTTTACATTTCCTTTGATAATTGAAACTCTATCACGACTCCCGGCGTGACTTTTGAAAACTCGTGATTCACTTGGAAATCAGATTTTCAACAAAGTTGAATCAATCGAGTCGAGGAGTGACTCGCATCGTGATTTCGCGATATCTAAGCAACCTCCAGGCTTTCTGACGCCAGTCACGCAGAGAGTTAGCGACAAATTGCTGATCGCGACAAGACAAAATAACTTTATTTTTTTATTTATTCTGCCGTATAACCCATAATAAGATACCTCCCTAACTAGCCTAACTCTTGCTTGAAATTATTTATTTCTTCTTCATATTTTTAGTAATAGCTTACTTTTGCAGGATATCTTTAATACAGGTCGGATGAATTGGAGACACGCAGGTGCTTCACTTTTATGAACCTTATTTACATAGGGAAAAGCATCTAGGATGCATTGGCCAGACGTCCCCGTTGCCATTCAAAAACACGGTGAGTGCACAAATTGGAAATCTAAATGCCTTCGACAGGTATTGCAGCGTGTTTTTCATATACAAATATTTCTAACGGACGGGCCAGATAAAACGGGTCGATTTTATTTTCTGTTTTTGAGGCACTTAAAAATCATTTTAAAACCTGGTTTTGAGCTCATTTGATGGAGAATTCATTATTTTACAAAACTTTCGACTTTGTTTTTTCAAATAGTTACTTGTTGGTGCAAAATTTAAAGATTAACATATACTCAATCGTCCAACTGCGATCTCCGTTTTTCTGCAAAACATTTCTCGATTTGTGTAAGCCTATGTTCATCAAGTTCGATGCTAAAAGTAAAATATGTAACATCAGCTGATAGAGACTTTTATGCTCTATGCATCCACGATTTTTTCAAGGTTCCTGATACTATCGTTCACGAGAAAAAGACTTGAAACTAACACCTAGTGGTATTTTTGGATGCACTTTGGAAAATCATAACGTCGAAAGTCAGACTTGGTCTATGAAACGTTTATTCTCATGTCAACGAATGTAGAATTTAATTCTGAAAAAATCGTATGGGTGTTAAGCTGAGTGGTGCGAAGTTATATTGATAAAAAATGCGGCCATCTCCGAGAAAACGCTCTAGATGCTTATTTTTGTGAAACTCCCTCCAAGACTTCGAAGAAGACGGAGTTTTAGTTATACGGTATACCGACATTTCGGCGCACGACATTTAGGCGCAACGACAGTTGAAGTTCAAAGACGCCGATATGGGTGTAGGTGAGGGTGAGTGTGAGTATCGATGAAGATTAAAGAAACAGTGGTTACAGTTGGAGATGAGTAATATAGACAAAGCTCTCACAGCATAAAAAGTTTGTTTAAAGACAATTTTATCGTTTTGCAGCATACTTTAACAAATGCATTACTTCTGTTTGTTTTTGTCGTAGATGCGCCCAATGTCGTTGCGCCTAAATGTCGCTGCGCCCGAATATCGTTGCGCCCAAATGTCGCGCGCGTCCAAACATCGGCGCCCAAATGTCTGGTAATCTAGTTATATACTCCAAAATCGGAGTTCTCATGGGTTTTTTTGAACCTACTTAAGAAAAAGCGGTCACAACCTCTTAATCGTCTGTCACAGTCTCTTAAACTGGCGATCACAACCACTTAGGTCGGTCACAGCCTCTTACGTACCTGTCTGATATCGACTGATATCAGGGGAATGTTTTTTAGGCGGTCACAGCTTGTTACGAGAATGATCACAGCCTCCTAAGAGGAGGGCTATACTTTTGCAATCATTTTTTCTAAGATCAATTTTTATGTTACATAGTTTACCAGTATTTCTACATCGAGTGGTTTTTTATCCATTGATTTTTTTAAAAAAAAATAATGGTCGATCCAATTATGAAGCGTGTCATACGAACAATGCATTACTTGTTCAACAGTGTCGTAAGACAAGACATAACTGAACGCCGTCGATTTAAAAAATGTTTACATATGAAATACAGATGAATAAGTTTCATTTTTAGTTTCCCAAAATACAACACAGTAGTAATAAATCGTTTCTAAGCAAATTTCTCGCCGATTTTTATTTCGGTCTATCTTGATCGGCATAGGGAGTTTCACCTTTTGGTACAGAACATACCACCCTGACAAGGTTTTTGAAGCCGTATCTAATCTTTCAGTATATTATTTTGTTGAAAAACAAAACATCTCTGTAGTATTGTTCTCATTAGGAACTAGTTTACAAAAATCTTCAGAGAAAATATCTAGTGGGTTGTTGTATTGTGTATGGTGGTGTTCCTTTTTCAAATCCGTTTTTACAAATGTAATTTTACTTATATGGAAGAAATTTCTCACAAAAAGACCTTATCGATTTGGCCACGTAACTCTACTGCCCAAGTGTAATTTCGTCACGTTTCTTTTCGTTTTATTTCATCTATAATTTTTTAATGAAGACACATCTAGAGCTCTGCAGAGTCTCATATTAAAATGAGAAAAGTGTGCTGAATATTTTGAGGCTTTTTCACACTCTACACGTTCTGTTGTTTAGGGACTATGGCAAAAATAGAAACCACCAGTTTTCTAGATAGTTTTGATAAGTAAAAATTTCTATTTTTGCCATAGTCCCTACACAACAGAACGTGTAGAGTTTGGAAAAGCCTCAAAATATTCAGCACACTTTTCTCATTTTAATATAAGACTCTACAGAGTTCTGGATGTATCTTCATTAACTATAGAAGAAAAAAAATGAAAAGAAACGTGATAGAATTACACTTGGGTAGTAGAGTTATGTGACTAAGCCGTCATAGATCTTCAGTGATTAACGTGTTTAATGACAAGAAAGAGTTTATTACTATTACTGTTTCTGTTTTTTCATCATTTCATTCTCCATTATTATTACAAGAGTATATGCAGCAGCACCGTGTGCAAAACCCACGCAAAAGAATCCAAGCAATGGCACAGACAATAAAAAGACATAGGGCAAGGCAAATGTTAACAAAGATAAATAATGATTACGTAAAAATTTCCGTACATTTTTATGTGGATTCAGAACCGATTTGGATGTAACTATTGATGTAGACAATGAAAACCCGCAAAATGTTAAAGTTGTTGGTCCCGGATAAATTCCTAATAACTTAACAGCATTTGTATTAGGCGTTGATAGTTGATTATGAATCCTCGACAAGTATGTATCAAATAATTCTCTCGCTAAAGCTATTGACGCCAATTGTAGATGAAGTAATGACATGGCATATGGCTGAAATCTTTTAATATAACCAACTAATAAAATTAAAGTAATGAGAATAAGACGAACAGATAAACATTTTGTATTTATTATTGTATGACGAACATAATTTAATAACCATAATGCTGGGATAAATCGACCTATGAAAAGATGAGAATTCTTATTTTAAAAAAAAAACCTGAATAAAAAAAGCAAAGAGTAAATTAACTTACCCAAATATGATGATGATCGTAGAAGATGAATAAACATAACAAAACTAAATAATAATGTTGTACGACGTAGAAAATAATACAATAATGTTAAAAAACGTTGTCGTGGTTTGGCATATAATTGAGTAGCAAATTGTGGATGAATCGATGATAATACGGAAAAAAAAATATTTTCATAACCCAATAAATTATTCATAATAAAAACGGCTAACAATGGTATAAACCAACATAGATGAATAAATAAATTAGATGGAGATGATACATCACGAAGATAGTTGAGAGTTTCTAGATTAACAACAGTATAAAACGAAAAAATCCATAATAAAACACGAAATGGTAATAAAGAAATATATAAGATACAATAAACAGTAATTGTTGAGATTAACAATGACCAGAAAGAAAATAGTTGTGTTTTCCATACATAATTATTGTTCCATGCTAATATGAATCCATGTAACGATGATCGAAAACCAAGATATAATTGGTCACGAAGTTCAGGCGGAATCATTATTAGAATGACAAATAGTTTAACTATCTACAAAGACAGTCGATACTTATCATCTAGTTAAAGTGTTCTATCCTTAGGAATCATTGCACGCCAAAAAAAGGCAGTATAATCAAGAAAAGTCACTTGTGAGGCAACTAAAGGAGGTCATAGGATCATGTTTATCTGCTATTTGGTACAAATTTAGGCTAAAGTGACATGTGCTTATTCTTGCATAGTTGAAAAAATTTTCTGACTAGACACAAAATGTTACGTTCGTTTCATCGATTTTTTTAATTTTATGAAGAACAGCTCGAAAGCACAAATTTTTTAGTTTTGTCACCGAGAAAAAAATCGAATATAAAAACTTCAATTTTATCTCATTTTATTTTAACGAGATCGCTTTTGCCAAAGCTATAGTGACACTTGTATTGCACTTCGACAAACGCAGTTAGAAGTTAATTACCTATATTTTTCTTTCCTTTTTCTCGTTTCGTATTATCAATTTTTAATTCGTCCATCGAAAGGAAAGAGACACGTGTCGTTAAGAAACATTAGATTACATTTCTTTCTTTCTTTCTTTCTGTTAACGTAACGTAAAAAAAGAGAAAATATGGACGTCCACACACTCTATGCGTTGGAACAGCGGTATTGAGCCTTTTGCACATTTTTTCTCCTGACAGTTAGTTTTTAACCAACGCTGAAATTACCTACTATTGGGAGCTGTTATTGGCAGATATCTAACAACGTTCGACAACCATCTTGTTAGTAACACATAATCTTGAGGTCAAGATAAGTTAGTGAGTTTGTACTTTTCTGATACAAGAATCAGAACAGACAACATCCAAGATGCATGTATATATTCTTTTTCGCCGAAAATGGTGAGAGACCAAAGAATAATGCAATGGTTATTTTTCCTCAGTAGATCAAAACCTCACTAGCATATCTTGACCTAATCTTGAACAGTTTTATTGACTGAATCAACAAGCAATAAGAAAAGAAAGATCATGACCGAAAACCACAACTGGTGTACAGTGGCATCTACTGTAATGTTTTGCCGACATCACATGAAAGAAATGAACCCAAGTCAACTTTATCGCTATAAGGCTCGCAAAATAAGACGCGATTTTAGCGATATGCTACTGAATGGGATATATATTTGCTATTCTCGCGATGTGATCTTGCATAGAACTACGTATGTTGGCACTGTCGCGTCACGACTCTTGCTTACGTGGCGGGAGTCAGCGTGACTCGCTTTTTGACACGATGTGAATCCTGGTGTCGCGGCGCGATTTTAAATGCATTCGCTGTTTTTCTTTTTGTTGAACTCGTACAGTGATTGTTTTAGTTACTAGGATAGTTTGAAAGCTACTTTGCTTGCTGCCAGATTGTTTCTTAATGTCTCCTAGGCACAAAGCACAGATCTGTAGGTGGTATTACTGATAGCTGGGAAATTGGCTAAATACTAACGAACACAAAGATCCATTCGAAACTCGGTATTTATGGTCAATGCAAATGAATATTTTTATGGTCTTGTACTTGTACATGATTATTTGAAACATAAGTGACCATTTTGACTAAAAACACTAACAAAAACATTTAATGGTCTTTTAATTTTTCACACGAAAAAGTAGCTGTTTTTTAATACAATCTTTTTTAAATGTAACTAAAACAGTTTTATGGAATGTTAACGGCATAATCGGAAAGAACAACTTCAATTCTACATATTTCGTGTTGAAGCTTGTTCGGGGAAGTAGTTCAGAACATGCCAGAAAATCAAAAAACTTCAACGTATCGAGTGGTCTTAAAATTTTTAACAGTGCTATAGATGCACAAATCAAGATATCAACTAAAATATCAGAGGTTTGCATTTCAGGGAGCAAAGACACTTTTTCAACATCCAGTTTGACACTTAAATGCCCCATGTTTTACCGGTTTACTCTTCGGAACATGATGCACGTAACAAGTACACAGTTATTTCAGAACTGTATATCTGGTGGAAAGTTAAGAAGTCTTTTCGCCTTTTCTATTGTTACAAAGTTGAACTAAATGTTTTTTTTGTAGTGTGGCTGAGTCAGAAGGTATTTTGGAAAATCAAATTCAAACGTGAGTGCTTCAAGATTATCATCAACTGTTGATCTAACGGTATTCAGTATATTTTTCAATTCTGATTTGCCATGCGACCGGAATTAGGTCTCAAAATATACGTGAGATAGATTGACGTCGTATTGCTCGTCTATGGGTTTTACCATAAGGAAACGTTTGCTGTATGTGATGAAACATCACACTTGTACTTATAGAGGATGTGTATTCGAGAAATACTAACGCTATGAACAGTTCGTTGCTAGAGCCGAGAGCTAATCTAGCAGTCTGTAAATGAGGTGCTCTGGAACTATGCCGCTATCCTCCGTGCGTCAAACAGGAGCGAACTAATCTTCGCTACATCCTGAAAGCCAGCAACAACAAAGCGAAAACATAATTACCCCAAGACACTCTATATGTTAAGAACACGTGTACACAAAAGATGTGTCCATTTTTAAGAAAGACAGTACAATTCTGTTTAAAAGGAAGAAGAAAAAAATTTAAAAACTGAAGGGCTGTTCTATGAGGGAGAAATAAATATTAGACATAAGAGTGTTATATGTGATACATCAAAAATGTAGAATATCTTAAAAGGTTAAAGATTGAGATCATAGATTAACCGAGAATGTTTTGAAAATGACACACTATTGCAATCTGTGTAAGACACTGATTCCTAGAGGTAACACTAATTCATTAAGCACCATGAAACTAGCCCGAGACAAAAAAATTTTGTGAAATCTTATAAGAATCTCACAAGAGTAAAACTCGTACGTTATTCTTGTAAGATTACCCTGTATAACCCTGCATCATATAGGATCCTACGAATCACAGGAAATCGTTTAGAAACTTATCAAATGCTATGATTTATATATAGAATTACTAGAATTTTGTCAGAATTATATTGAGAAAGATTTATATTTTGCTAGAAACAATTTATTAAAATGTTTTTCGAAGATAAATTTTCTGTGGAGAACAATCAAGAAATTCGTTTCTTTGACCACTGGTTATTGAATGATGAGTCATGCTAGTAACTGTAAGTCCTTTTATGATTGCTTCTAGTGCTTTATTACGACAGGTATGAAAAGAGTTTTAATGCGTATTAGTAATATTCGATCTGCTCTATTTTCTACGACTTAGAGAGTCCGAATTGAATCTGATCTGTATAGAAAAAAAAGGAGCTTAAGTAGCACATTTTTGTAGAGATCGGTGTGAAAAAGAGGGATTTATGCAAACGAGCAACATGCCATTCCCTGCATTCTCGTCTCACATATTTTTATTTTTCGAACTTCATTTTCTTCCTATAGTCATGATAGATTTGGGGAAGTAAGTCGGGTCTACAAGCAGCAGACAATGAGGGTGAGTCATGAGACTGTCCACGTGAGACTAAGGTCTTATTATAGACAAAATTAAATAAGTGGAAAGAACATTATTTAATTCGCATATGAAGCAGTAGATGATAGTAAGAAAGTTGAATATACGGTGCTGATCATTAAAGAATGAAAATGGAATTGTACTATATCCTTCCTATAAGATTCTTATCAAAATCTTACGCATTTTCATCGATTGCCTTATTAAGAAATTCATAAGATTCTTATAAGAATAACGTACGAGTTTTACTGACTCTTACCAATTTCTTATGAATTCTTGTGAGGTTCTTATAAGATTCAACAGAATTCTTGTCACTTTCGTGGAACATCTTATATAAGAATTGAGTAAGATTCACACAAGATTCTTACATGCTACTTGCAAGTTTCGTATCTGATTCTTATATAAGAACCGATGACTAGAGAGGGATCGAAGATGAGAAATGGTATCCGCTAAAGGCTTGCAGTATCAAAAGGCTTCAGGCATGTTCTACGAGCCGTGTCTAGCCAACCTTGCTACTAAATCTGCGTTAACATTAGTTTAAATTCGAACTCGAACCCGAACTTTTGGAACTCAAGCTCGAACACTTTGATATCGAACGTCTTCGAACTAGAACTGTTCGAAGCCGAACGTCGAATCTAGCTTCGGGTTTGTAACATGTCTAGTTCACGTTACACTAGTGCATTATAATACATTTAACATACTTGTTCTCGAAATTAATTGCGTGCCTAACGCAGTACAATGCAATAAATAGAGAAAAAGATCCAATAGATAATAAAAAACGTTTTTTGTCCTTAGAAAGTGCTAGCTTATAGTATCATCGGAGAGAAAAACATGATTTTTGATTCAATACATTCCCATCATGCTATATCAGTGTGAACGATAACCATTAATGTCTTGTACTCGTAGATGTTTTCTTGTTCTCCTTCATGGAGTCTCTCTACTCAATGATGTTAAAAGCGATTTCATTGTCGAAGACGATCTACTGTTCTAACAGAAAACGCTTTCAGATCACTTTTTCACACTGTTTCTATTTTTTCACACTCTTCAGATATACAAAGAAAATTTTTTTTCAGTAACAGCTCGATAGATTACCAACAAGAGAAAAGAAACTTTGAAATATTGTTTTTATTAAAACAGAATACTCTTACTAATAATTATTGGTAAAAAATAATCGTAATGAAAACAAAAAATTATAAAGAGGTTAACAGAAAAAAAATAAGAACAAATATTTCATTTTTTTTTAAAGAAAAATCTCTCACTTAAGTCCACATAATATTTGGGGCAATACCTTCCATTGTCGTTATCGATGGCATAAAATTTTCTTCATGACGAAAATACAATGGAATTTCTACCACAAGGCCTTTTATTTCTTTTAAACGTTGATAAGCCTAAAATGAGAGAAAAAAAAGTCGATGAATCTTCAATAATTCAATAAATTAGAAAACGTTTTTGGTGTAATAATTTTCTTACTCTTTCTGGATCCGTATCAGCCATTTTTGGTGTGTCTAAATATTCTTTATCTCTTGTAATTAGTCGAACACGATCACTTGGCAATGCTAAAAACACCTACACAATAGAAGAAAATAGATATAAATTATTTCTTTTAAGAAGTCTACCAGTTATAACAAGTGTTTTTATATTAGATATTTTGTTTAACTAATCACTTACTTCTTCATAAATAAGTGTATTATGATGTGCTGTTTCACGAAAAAAATTATAGAATTTATCCGACACGGGATCACTCATATCAATATTATCTGGATTTTCATGCTGAATACCTAACAACATTCTTTAAAAAGACAAAAAATACAGAATTTCAACATAAATGTTTGATATTTGATCTTACCCAAATAGTTTTTTTCTCCAACTTGAACAAAATTTTCCACATAGCACCGGTTCCCCATTCATTATACCTCTTTCATATTGTTTATCTTGAATAACAATGGCCATTTCACTATCTCGATCACCTAACATTGAACGATCATTAATATTAGCTGAACCACATATACACCAGCAATCATCAACAATCATCAATTTTGAATGAACATAAATAATTTCTGTTACCTTAAATTAAACAACAACAACAAAAAAATGATGCATATCACCAAGTTCTGAGTATGTAAGGATGCCTTCTACTATTCAGAAAATTCTTTCAAGATTGAATTAATCTAGCAAAAATATACGTCAAAGTGTTCCTCTTCAAAATGAGATATTTTCCATTTCCTCACAATATTAACTGGCTAAAATATAAGCGTTTTGATCCGACCGTCTCAAGGCTCTATGCGAAGACTCAACCTACAAAAAAAAACAATTCGATGCGGCATTGTAAAGAATATGATTGGCATCAGCGATACGTATGCTATGCCATGTATCAGTTTTACATCGTGAAAAAGCGGGACGTACGAGTACCCGGACTATGTCAAACAAGACCAACTTTTTATATCCAAAAACGATGCCGCCTCGATATTCAGTGTTGCATGCTGATGTCGTATTACTACAATTCAATAGTGTATGTACAGAAAAAGATCTTAACAAGACACTGAAATTTACTTACGAGAGAACCTCTCCAACTTGAAAATCGCTTCTGGCTCAAAAACCAGTGGACAATATTTTATCGACCGTGTTGATTGTAAATATGAACATGATTTTGCCGCTAGACCTCTCACCATCGGGTAATTTAGAAAACTCGTTTTCCAGAAACTTCAGAAAATCTCCGAAACTGTTTCTTAATAAGTTGCATTTGTAGCCCGCGAAATTCTGATCAGAATGAAACATCCCCCAAATCTACACGATTCTTTCTTTGCAAAGTTATAGAATTTACAAGAAAAGTTCATTGTCACCTAAAGGAATTTACGGCTTTTCTTATTAATTCTATAACTTTGCAAAGAAAGATCGTGTAGATTTGGGGGATGTTTCATTTTGATCAGAATTGACAAAATAAAGCGGTGATTGCAAACGAAATTTGGCATCGGTGGGTACCGGTGCAAGAATAATAGATTTTTCTAGCACTGATGCGCACCAGTACGAAACTTGAGAATTTCTCCACTATATTCTAGGCACTAGTACCGCACCGATGTGCTCTAGTGCAGAAAAATTTACTAGTTCGCACTCATAACGCACAAAACATATCATTCCGCACTGGTGCGCTACGATGCGGTACAAGTATTGATAAAAAGAAATATTGTACGGCAGATTCATCCGAGGAGAAAACATAGCAAAAGGATAAATCGAAAAACATCTGTGCATATATATGTGTCTAATATCTGTGATGAAAATTTGAACTTGGATGGATAACGTTTCGATAGGATAAGTCCATGCGTAACAAGGTTAAACCGAGGTTTGAACCAGAGACGTTTTATCACAAAAGTTATGTTTGCTAAGACTTATATCGAAACGCTTATATCTCATATCTCAGTAAGCCAATATTGTGAGGAACCTCCGTTGGAGATGCCTCTGTTTTGAAAAGGAACACTTTGGAGTATATTTCTGCCAGAATAATTTAATCACTTTGAAAATATTTTCTAAAAGGTGTGGAACACCCTTCACAGATGTTAAGGTATGATAAATATACGTACCAATCTTCCCATGAGAATATCGTTTCCGCGCATACCATAAAATGTAATATAATCATCTGGTTTAACCCCTATAATTGAAAAATACCGAAGCTTTTAAATTCAATTTAAATTGAACTTTTTTCTTCTCACCTGCTTTTTCTAATCTACTGTATAACGAATTATCACCTTTAGCTATTGATCTCATTATAAAATACAGAACAGCTTCAACAGCATTTTCCACATTGAAACCAGGTAATAATGGTAACACAACATAGACACGAAAGTTTGTACGAGTTCTAAAATTTAACAACGTCTTATTGAAAATACTGTTTCTTTATACTAAATACGACTATTATCTAACGTGTGTGCACGAAGTATTCGTCTATACAGAGCATCACCAATTTGGTTTTTAACTTGAGGATCTTGATCGATGGTAATGAAAAACTGATTCTAAAGAAAGAAAAAGAAAAACTAAGTTAAAATGTATTTGATGTCAAAAGAATACACAAACCTACTTCGATGTAAATGTAGTATTTGGCTGCGTCAATCAATTGAACGTAAGCATTTTGTATGGAAAAATCGGTTACTTTGATCCCAGCTGACCATTCACTCGCAGAACGAAGTAACTAGAAAAAGACCAGTTTCATTCAGATCTCTTGGACTACTCCTGAATATTTTACCATTCCTTTTATTGAAAAATTAAAAATTACATGAGCGACTATTCACCCGTTTGATAATCATATGTCAGTAGTTATCCTTTTCTATGAAGATGTACTCATTGCATGTCTGCTATTTATTTAATGTAAGATGAATTCATAGAGAAAAACGTTGAGAAACGTCTTGAATAATACGGACAACGGATTCTAGTTTTCTGAAAAACTTTGTCGCATGCGAGAATAAAGTTCTGTCGTTGGTCGATTTAACAAAACGAATTAAAACCTTCTTTTATTTCTTCAATCATATTCGTTTCAACATCAGATTGTGTTACGCGCCTCCACTCTGAATCAGAAATCTATCTCGGCAACCACAAGTCTGATCTTAGCGAAAATTCAAGGAGTTTTCGGCATGTTGAGGAATAGTTACGATATAATTTTTGGCGCTCCATCTATCAACGTTTAAGAGACGTTCGTTCGAATATAGATCACTTGGAGCATCTACCCACTGGATAATTTTGAGGTTTTAATGCACATTAAATAAAATGAAATCTCATTTTTTAGTAAATAATGCATGGGCATCCATTAAAATTGGGTTTTCTAACGTATTATCACGTACTATTGTGCAGTATTTATAATACGTTATAATGTATTAATCCTCAATGCATGCTCATATATTAAGAAGAGATAAACATCTAACGGATTATAATGCATTCAGTAGCTTTAATGTAGGAAATGGAAGAATTTTACTGTATTATCAATCATTAAAGGCTTACAGCTGGTTATCCTGTGTGATTCATGGGTACTGCATGAAATGTGATTTACCCTAATCTATTATATGCTTATCCACAGCTTGTAGATTTACTACAAGCTGTGGATAAGCTCTATACAAAAATTCAAACTACTACCGTACCAAAAAGCAGTGTCCCTGGCTATTTCGCGAATAACTTTTGATAGAAGAGTGTCACAGATTTGTGGTTTCCAGTTTTTTAATTTAGACTCTTGAAGACGTCTTTTAGCAGGCAAAAACTCCTTTTTCCAAAAGTTGGAAATCTAGTTTTCCAGAGGTCTTTTGAAAACTACCCGTAGTTTCGAAACTTTCCATAGAATTTTTCTTTCTTTTTTACATGAGTCTGTACATCTGAGCGTCCTCTTTTCGAATTTGAAAGAATTAAGTTTCTATCTCTCAAGGTTACAGGCGTTTTCCGAGGACAGGTCGGTTTCGTTTGGTCAACTTGGCCTAACTCAAAAACACATCAGACCTAGGTAATCAACCACATTGATCACCGTGGCAATGTTTGTTTTCGTGTGCAAATCAAAATAAGGTCAGAAAGTGAAAAAAAGCTGAAAACCGGTTTTTGACCTTTTACCTGCATAAATTAAAAACTCTCTAGTTCAGTCATTTCAACTTCAGTATGGCTTAAACTTTCAAAAGGTACTCAGAACAGACTAAAAATCATTGTTAGATTGGAAAAAGACGGAATAGAAATCATTGACTGTAGACGGTTATCCAGAAATCTCCCGAAGAACCTTCTTGAATCAGTACAGTTTCAGGCAGTTTTTATTGCTTGATTTATAATTCCTGACCTGTTCTGAGTACCTTTTGAAAGGTTGAGCCATATTGAAGTTGAAATGACCGAGCTAGAGAGTTTTTAATTTATGCAGGTAAAAGGTCAAAAATCGGTTTTCAGCTTTTTATCACTTTCTGACCTTATTTTGATTTACACACAATAACAAGCATTGCTACAGTGATCGACATGGTTGATTACCTAGATCTGATGTGTTTTTGAGTTAGGTCAAGTTGACCAAAACGAAATAGACCTGTCCTCGGAAAACGCCTGTAACTCCGAAACCTCGAGAGATAGAAACTTAATTCTTTCGGATTTGAAAAGAGGACACTCAGATGTACAGACTCATATAAACAAGAAAGAAAAGTTCTATAGAAAGTTTCGAAACTACGGGTATTTTTCCAAAGATCCTCTGGAAAACCAGGTTTTCAGCTTTTGAAGAAAGGAGCTTTTACTTGCTAAAAGACGTCTTCAAGTGTCTAAATTCAAAAACTGGAAACCACAAGTCTCTGACGCTCTTCTATCAAAAGTTACTCGTGAAACAGCCAGGGACACTGCTTTTTGGTTCGGGATAGTAGATGGGATAGTAGATGCCAACTATGCTGCGCATAAATTGGAAAGTCGACTGAGTGAAACGGTAAACAGAAGAAATTAAAACATCTACAAACTCATAACAGTTTGACTATTTTTCAAGAAGAATTCCTATATTCCTATGTCAGCTGATTCATTATCGTGTCATATATTCTACTATAGTATAGCTCTCATCATATCCAGTACTGTAACATATAGTTACTATGAACTGAATCACGTGACGATTAATTATCCCATAGCAGAAACCATAGAGTTTTCTAAAAAATAAATCATCTTTTTCCCAAACCTGTACGATCAGAGATAACTGAGAATGAGTGCTGACTCGAACGAGAAATGCCAACTATCCTACGGACAGATTGGAAACCCGACCGAGTAAAACGTATCTTAGAAACACTTTAGACACCACTTGAATCCCTTATATACGGTTAGAATACTCCAGTGCTCTAATATAGTAGTAGAAAGAAAGAACTAGAGACCAACTGCCCTGCGGGAAGATTGGAAAGTCGACTGACGAGGGAACATTCCCAGGTGCCCCGCTCTGATTTCGTTCGTTCATGCATCATTCGATAGGTGGTCTCGAGTAGATAAAAAGCCTAAAAGAATATCGGCTGACGACTCTTTAAAACCCGGTTTAATATGAGACTTTCCTTCGTGATCGCATTACACAAATTAATTTCAGTTTTTTGTCCTTTTTTAAATTCATTTGAATTCATTTGAATTAAATTTTATGATTTTTTTATATTTATTCAAGGATTTAAATTGATGCACATTAATTTTGAACGCAAAAAGATTTTTTAAATTAATCTGAACGACTTTACTTTTAAATTTGTTCAAATTCCTTTAAATCTCGAAATTAGTTTGCATTAATTCGAAAGTATTTAAAAGATTCAATAGGTAGTGCTTCATATGATAAAAGTTATAGTGGGCACGATAATGAATGGTTTGCCACAAGGCAGCTCATTATCACCTGTGCGGTTTAGTATATTTCATTGCGATCTACCGAATAAATTAGGAGCACATTCAAATCATTTATTCGCAGATGGGCTATTAGTGGTAATCACACCCCCTTTTAGACCAAAAGTCAGTGAAATGTTGAAGTTTTTAGAAGAAGAAGGCAATAGAGTTTGTGAAAGAATTTTAAATCCTGCAGTCATACATGAGCAACCTATTAATTACAACAAAACGATTTTTCAGATCTTCCATAAACAAGTGGCGAGACCGACGATTTCATTATTTAGGGACGGTTTTTCGCTTGGGTAAGTATAGCGGTTTAAATACTTGGGTTTCATATGCACCGAGAAGTGGTCTCTTCGCCTTTCCGTTGACGACACGGGCAAAAAAATCCAAAGATCCTACGGTAAGTTGAAGTGGTTGTCTAAGTCCAAGGAAATTTCGATAAAATTGAACAGAAAATGTTTCTTTGCATATTCATTTCCTTTTTCTCCTGGTTTTCCTGATATACCCATTCCTACCGAAAACTCATCTAGCGCCTTTAAATCGTAAATTTCAGGTTGGTATGAGACTAGTTTACCGTTGTCCTTTTGTTGATGCGGACGAGTTTTTTGAATTATGCAGAGAAAAAGAATTGAAATTTTACGTAGTAAAGTATCTTAAAAAAAGTCTTGAACGTTGTTACGACTCGGACTTCTGTACCTGCCCAATCCTCGAGGATGTTTTCTAATGGGATAGTTTCAAACCAAATAGAAGTTAAAATCTGGGCCACTTCTTTTCGATGAAAAAACCAAGCAGCTCTTAGATAGACATGAGTCGGTGCGAATATCATGGATAACTTTTGTGGATGAGGTAATAAAGTGAAAGAAAAAATTCAGCACAGTTTAAATGTATGATATAATACAAGTGCTATGTTATTTTTATCTTTTGTATTTGGTTTATTATGTATTTTACCGTATTTCTCGATATTCTGCTTTCTTTTTTTGTAATAGCTTAACAATAAACGGTCAGTCCCAAAAAAAGAACAATAATTTTTTGTAATTTAACTTATTCAATAAAATTTACAGTATTTATATTCATAATACTTTTAAAAAGAAAGGAAGTTTCTTACATAAAATGTATAAAAATGCTACATGAACAAAGTCGTTATTTCACACGCAGTTTTTCGTATAGTGTGATAGTGCTACTCGAAAGCTAATGAGTACGTCGTTAACAGATCAAAAAAAACAAAATGGCTCGTTTCCCGACAGTAACAACTAGAAAAGTGAGTGAAGAAAAATCACAGGAAAACAGGTGAAAACGGTATATAAAACAGACAGTTTTCAGCGACGCTCTTTCTTATGTCTAACTTGAGGAAAAAAACTTCTGGAAGTAGTGTTTTCAGAACACAATATTGTTTAAAAAAACTTGTCATGTGACACTTCATATACATTCATTATGAATAGTGTAGAGTGATTCATTAAGTAGTCACGTGCTACTTATCAGTCTATACTTCTGTATAGTTTGATGCATTTATAGTCTGAAGCATTACTACCGCTAGAATGCATCAATACATTTATTACTAGAGCACTGCAATGTTCTAATCGTATGTAAGGGATTCTAGTGGTGGTGCCAGGATTTTTCGGGTGCCTGGGCGCAGCCCATAATTTTTCGAAAATCCGTTTAGAATTTTTACGTGACTACTGCTAGTGAGTACTCTGTTTTCAAATTTTTGGGTGGTTGGGCTCAGCTCACCCTAGCCTTGCCCTGGCGCCGCCACTAAGGGATTCAAACGGTATTTAAAGTGTTTCTAAGATACGTTTCACTCGGTCGGAGTTCCAATCTGCCCGTAGGGTAGTTCGCAACTAGTTAAGCCGACCGAGTGAAACTCGGAGGAGCCTTTTTCTGTTCCACTACAAAAAATTCTTCTTTCTTCTAGAC